TCCCTCATTTCCCTGCCCCTCACCTGGAGGCCCCCCAGCCTTCCCACCGCCGCAAAAGGGAGCAGTCATAGCTTAGAGCAGGGGTTGGCAAACTATGGTCCTCAGGACACATCTAGCACAGGCCACAAGTTATGAATGTTTTCTACATTTTCAAATAATTGAAAAAAAATCGAAAGAAGAAGAATATTTCATGACATATGAAAACTCTGTGCAATTCAAATGTCATGTCTACAAATTTTATTGGAACACAGCCACACTGATTCGTTTACGTATTATCTACAGCCCCTTTCCTACCATAACTGCAGAGTTCAGGGCTGGCAGCAGAGACCATATGGCTTGCCGAGTCCAAAATACATACCTGGGCACCTCACAGTGAAAGCTCGCTGACCCCTAGTTTAGAGCATGGACCCTGTAGCCAGTCTGCCCAGGGTTCGAATTTAGTTCTGCCACTATGTGGGGCAGTAAGTTCACATGTTCTGGGCCCCAATTTCTACCCTCTGTAAGGTGGAAGCGGATGACAATAGCTCTATGTACCTCACTAACAGGTTGTGTGGAGATGAAGTTGATGTAGAATAGTAACAGGCGCAGGCCATAACTGCTCATTATTGTTGTTATACTACAGCTGGGGACCATAGAAAATCTGTCTGGTATTAAATAAAAATTCTGGACCAAGTGTTTATTTCTTAACTAACCACAAAGTCATAGGAAGAAAAATCTGCTGAATATGAAGTCATCTAAACATTATAGTCAGTGTCCCTGTTACCAAGGGGCTGTGGAATGAGACTCCTGTCCCAAACAAAGGTTAGATTCAGGCATCTATCTGACTTCTTGCTTTTCTACATAGTCCAAGAATATCGGCAACCAAGGAGTTGTCTTCTGTTTATTTTGTTTTGAAGGTTGAATAAAATTTCCCATTTTTTTCATGTTCCTCTGTAGTCCTTTTCCAAGTAAATATATACTTTAAAATAGTATAATCATTTTATGGCATATACAGTTTAATTTCTTTTATTTAAGCTTACATCATAATGTTTCCACACTGCTTAGTTTTGTCTCTTAAAGAGTGTTATGAAGATAAGTTTTCAATATATAATAGAAATTTTTCAAGATATACATGTATGTTTTTTAGACCAAATAGTTTCCAACCCTTCTAAACTGAATATCCATCCAGTTTTCATCAAATGGCTCTGAATTGCTCACATCATCAACTTCTCCCCACAGTGATCTGGGAACACATTTAGATATTTGTCGCAAAGAGCATTCTACAAACAAAACAAAAGCTTTGTGCTGTGTTCACGAAAAGGGTGGAAGTGCTAACCATGCATAAACCTCACAGTCCTGGGATGAGGATATGAATAGCATGAGAGAACTGAGCATCGTCAACCATTCTTCAGAGAAACTGGACCTCCAAAGGCATGAGACAGAGTTAGGGACAGACCCAAAGAGGCTGCAAGCATGTCATTTGCAGGGGCAGAGAATCCATAGTGATGGGAGTTCACAGGGTATGTGAAAAAAGGCTTCTAGGGCTGTAGAGACCAGTCCTTTGGCCAGGTTAGCTCACAGGTCCCAGTTACAATGTATCACCCTGCTCACTTACCTAGATACACCGTCCCAAAGCATTTGCCCTTAGAAGATTGTAAAGTGGGGCTGAGAGCCAATTACACCCCCTCCTCACCATTTATTGGAAGTTCTAGTACTACTACTCTCACTCACAGGGAGGATCAAAGACCGGGCTTTCATCATTTGGGGAAAAAAAAAGACACTCTTCAACAGAATCTATAGCTTCCTACAGAGAAGCAATTAAGTCAGCCAGATTGGGTGAAATAAAGCCGTAATTAGCGCAGGAAGCCACACCCTTGTCAGTTGTCTTCACAGCCACCTTTTCTCTTAGGCACTCTAAGGGACAGTCACAATACTCAAGTCACACTGGCCCCCAAAGTCATTTATCTCTATTTTTTTCTCTTAAGGCGCCTTTACGCAGAGCGTGCCTGTGCGTGCCCAAGTGTTTGTATTTGTGCGGGTTTTGGAGTATGAATATATCTGGCTGTGGAATATGCTTCTTCTGAAAAGATAAAAGAGGAAAAAGAAAAGGTTGTTTTTGCAAATCATGCTGTTATCCCACCTACCCATCTAGTTGACTCTTTAATTTTAAGCTTCATTTTAATAAGAGACTTTGAATAGCTCTGCTTTTATGATTTAAATGGACTTCCATATTGGGATTTAACCATCTGATATAACAAAGTGGGTGGACTTCAGTCTTCAAAGGAAAAAGAATAAACATATTGAAAGCTGTAACTAAAATTTTCCGTTTTCCTGCAACCCTCTTGATGGAATTATTGTCAAACTTGAAATATCCAGTGCCCAAATTCAGACCTCAAGTTTTGCAAAAAGCCTTCAATGTAATGGGTGGGGCGTGGGGGTGGGGGTGGTGCTGAGGCAGCTGAAATCATTTTGGTAGAAATCCAGTTTCACTGCCTGAGCAGTAACTCTGCTGTGGATCAAATGTAAAATACACCAGTGGTTAGAAGAACACGGGTCACCCAATTTCCTTGAACACAGATGACTGAAGTGACGTTTTTGAAGCCCATGCTCCATAATGCAAAATGCTTCAGCTCCTAATGGTCCTCATTAGGAAGGTGTGAGGATGTGAGTCCAAAAGCAATACCAAAGGGAAACTCCAATATAGGACAGTTTGGGTACAAAAGGTGAAGATCATTGAGAAAATGGCAACTCTGTTTACAGAGTTGCTCAAGTCCCAAACCTTAGAGTCATCCTTGACTCATCGTCTATCTCACACCATCAGGCAAGATCTAAGATGTCTTAGCTTGATTATATACAGTAAGACTCTTTTTAGAAAAAAAAAATATATATATATATATTTTTCAACTTTCCAAAAACATATGCTGATGAAAGTTCCTTGAGGGGCCCAGAAGTCTCGCAACAAATTCCCGATTGCCCACGCTGCCCTCCAGTTGGTAAAACCTTCAGTATACCAAGGTCGCAGCCCCTTGGCTGCCTCCCTCTCTACCATCCTGGACTCCATGACCTTACCTTCTGGCCTGAACTACTGAAACAGCCTTCCATCTGGCTGATTCTCCTATGTCTCCCCATGTGCCTACAGTCTATCCATCTCACGGCAGGCAAATCTGATTATGTCCTAGGTTGGTTCAAAATCCTTCAAACTTCTTTTCTTGTAGTATATAGAGAGTCTTTGCCCTTCGTGGTCTTGCTTTATGGGGCCACCCTGTGTCTCTCATAGTTTCCTCCCATAATTCTGCCCCATCTCATCTCGCATTCCCCAGGATTCCTTGCTGATTTCGGAACCTGCTTTTTTATTTGTGTTTCTGATGTCCAGAATACTCTCCCCTGGAATGCTCACTTCCTTCAGGTCTGTACTTCAATGCCACCTTATCAGAGATGCCTTTCCAGACTCTCAACAGCAGGAGCCCCCCAATACCCTCCTTTGCTTTCTTTGGCGTTTTGTCTGCAAGTTTAGACTCATTTGCCCAGATTTATTTATTGCCTTTCTCTCCTCTTCTACACTCTAAGCTCTTGGAGAATAGGGATTTTACTTAATTCACTAGTGTGTGCTCTTTTTCTTAGAATAATGCCTGATATCTAATAGGCACTTAATAAATATTTCTGGAAAGAAGAAATCACCAACCTGGGAAGTTCAGCTAGTGATGATGTCATTAGCAGAGTAAGAGAAATTATTTTCGGGGAGATGGTAGAATTCCTTCTGGATGTCTAACGTGCCGCGTTTTTTAAATTCTCATCACACTCTGTGCGTAGATACCTATCTGTTGATGGAGAAGAAAGTAAGCCCTAGGACCCACCTTGAACAGGATTTTTTGTGTTGTTTTGTAAATTTCAGTTCTGGCTTCCAAAAATTACCTAAGTTAAAACGCATAAACTCTTCAATCACGTTTTCCTCTATTTTACACTGTTTGTGGTATCTTCCTTTCCTTTTATGTTCCAAACAGGTAAGAAAATCTTCCTACACTGCAAGGACAAAATTTCTTTCAAGAGACCTTTTCTCGGATGGTGAATAAACGTCAGCTGGTCATTGACGCTGAGATTTTACTTCCAGGTGTGAGGTAGCAGGGCGGCCGCAGGGCTCAAGTGCCTCAGATCCAGCATTCATTCTTGAGGTCTCTCCAGGAGGAAGTGAATTCCAGGAGAGTTTCAGCCTCGGGCAGCTCAGAGGAGAAGTTCTTGCGTTGGCTGTTTGTCAAAACAGTAGTCAGTGAACCAGAAAACACTTGGATGTATGTGCCCGGTCCCCTTCCCCGGCTGGTCTGTTGGAAAAGGGAGGTCTACCCCTCTTGGGCTTGAGGGTCTGAATTTCTTCCGCTGTGGAGGAGATCGGGTGTTTGGGGGTACAGGATTTGCAAGTTAGTTATCCTTAAATAATTTTTTCGCACCGAGGCGCCCCTGGGAAACGATCTAACTCTCCTGAGGAGCCCGTCTCCCTTGCATCGGTCCTTATTTACTGGAAGGCAAATGTTCCAGCTTTGAAGGCTGCAAACGGCGGCCGCGGGAGGTCATGTCTGCCCCGGGGCCCGGCTTCCGGCTCTCCTGTTGTCAATTAAGCTCCAGGGGGTGAACGCAGCAGTTAACTGCTCCTTCATTCAGCAAATATTTACTGAGCGCCCGCGGAGCGCCGGGCGCTGGGGTACAGGGGCCGGGCAGCAGCTCGCACGCCCCGCAGTGGCGCGCGGGCCCCGACGCGGGGAGCAGAGAGCCGCTCTCCGGCCGCGGCGCGCCCTCCGCAGCCCCGCGACGGGCCCGCCCCGCGGGACCCCACCTCCAGGGCTCGGGGGAGGGGTGGGGAAGGGAGAGGGAGACCCCAGCCGGTCCGCGCCGGGCGGCTGCTCCCGGGAGCGCGATCCCCGAGCGGGCGGGGCGGCCGAGCGCCCGCGGGTCCCGGGGCGGAGGCGGCCCGGGCGGGCGGAGGGCGCGGCCGGCGGGAGGGGCCGGGGCGGCGCCGGGAGGGGCGCCCTCGCGGGGCCGCCCGGCCCAGCAGGTGACCGCGGGCCGGGGCCGCCGCGGGAGCCGCAGCGAGTCCGGGCGGCGCGGCGGGGAGACGCTCGCGAGGCGGCCGAGTCGGCGGAACATGGCGGGGGCGCCCGGGGCGCGCGGGAGCGAGGCGCGGCGGCGGCCGGCACCCCAGGAGCTGTAGCCGCCGCGGGCAGGCCGCCGCCATGGCCCGCTGGATCCCCACCAAGCGGCGGAAGTACGGGGTCGGTGAGTGCTGGGCGCGAAGTCGGGCTGCGGGCGCGGGCGGCTCGGCTGCTGCCCTCGCGGCGCAGGGGGGGCCGGCCGGGGCGGCGGGGTCCCCTCCGGGTGCGGGGACCCCGAGGGGCCGAGACCCCGCTCCCGAGTGCAGGCTCCAGGCTTCGCCGCCTGGACACGTCGGGAGCGAGGGGCGCCGGGCGGTTACCCATTTGGGGCGCCGGCGCGGGTGCCCCCCGCCCTCCCCCCCGCATCCGCGCGGCTTCCTCCAGCAGCTTGGACCCCCCCACCCCGAGTGGGCAGAGGGCGAGGTCCGCTCGCCCTCCCGAGCTTCCTGCCTTCCCTCCCCTCGGGGTCTCCCCGAAGCCTCAAAGTGGGGAGGGGGCGTAGAAAGCCGCCGCCTCCCCCCTCCCGGGGCGAGGATCCTGGGAACAGTTGTGAACCGAACGGGAACTCGGGTTGTTGCGTGGACAGGCCCCTGGGGCTGCTCGCGCGGATCCCGTCCCCGGGCCAGGGGGTGTGTGGAGCGCCTGGGGCTGCCTGCGAACCGCGGGGCGAGACCAGGACATTTTACTAAGAAAGCTGGGCGGCGGGACCCGTGCAGGGGTCGGTGCTGGAGGGATTGCTGACCTTGGTTTGTGCGCGGTTTTGACCCGGTTGAGAACTATGGCCCTTATACCTTATCGGGAAGTGAGGCTGCTGAGGTCTCTTGAACGACTGCCCTTAGCGGGGCCACTGGAGGGGCGGTCAGACTTCGGAGCGATTCCCTGGGATCAGCACACTTACGTGTGTTGGGGATTTTATCACTTCCTCTATGTTCATTCATCTGGCCCGGTGTGACTTAATCTTTTACTTCGCTGCCTTCCCTGCCCCCCATTTCCTCACCTCGCGGGTTCCTAGGGAGCGGCCTCTGAACCTAATCTTCCTTTTCTGATATTAGATTGTAATCCTTATGTGTGTGTGTGTGTGTGTAGAATGTAGAATTCCTTATTTTTCCTCTGTTCTAAATCCTTGTGTGTGTGTGTGTGTGTGTGTGTGTGTAGAATTCCTTATTTTTCCTCGGTTCCAAAAACTTTTTTCCCTTAAATTTCCTGTAGACTCCTGGCCCTCTCCTGTGGCCACAGCTCACAAGTGGGTAGGTAGGTGTTTGTCTTGCCCAGACCACCCCAGTCGTGATTTAGTCTGGAGTCTTCAGACTTCACGGTGCCAGTTAGTAAGTCAGTCTGTAGTTAAGGAAGGAAGTGCTCTAAAATAGATGGAATCAATTTCTTTATTTTTGAGTACTCTCAAGTACCAACTACTAAATTAAAGTGTATTTAGCATTGTCTGATCATTAATTGCTACTTACAAAAAAGTTGTCAGTTCTAATTTTAACAGCTGAAAAGCTGTTTCCACAACTATTACGACTTTGACGTAGTTGATGCAAACATACCCCAAAAAGGTGGTTTTATTGCGGTAGTCATAAGAGCAAGTGTGATGTGTTCCCTTGTTTATTTATTTATTTTCCTGCTCTGGAGTCAGGTTACCATGTTAGTTATCATCAGTTAAGAAAAATATTTGGATTGCATTTCCAGGGCATAGCTGCTAACAAAGCATTTCCAGGGCATAAGTGGTAGCTAAATTATGCCAGGGTATAATTTGGGACAGTTATTTAACTAGATACAATGGATTCTGATTACTCTAGTTGTGACAAAAGGACCCACTGTCGGGACAGATTAGCTGAGAAGATAAATCTCCATTGTTTATTCCTAAAACACATTGTTGTTCCTAACACCTCCCTGTGTGGAAGCCTTCTTGGGCCTAAGGAGTAAAGTCTAAACTGGGTCCAATATTCAAGGTTCTGCTAATCTGGTTCAACCTAGCTTCACCGGCTTTATCTCTCACGGCTTCTTTCATTAGCCCTCGGTGCAGACACTGGGCTTCTCTGTTCTCGGGCAGTACTCACACGAGAGGCTCTCCTTTGGGACTTTGCTCCCTTGTGTTTGGCCCCTGCCTGGAGTGCCCTCCCACCTCTGTATCCCACAGTCCAGTTTTAACCTCAGAGCTCTAATCTGTTCCCACTGCCTTTTGCAGACGCAGAATTCACCAGACCTTCCTGAACCTTCACACGCCTCCTCCTCACAATTCCTACGTTGTGTCACACCTTCATTTGTTACTTACCGTCTTATCCTTGGGTTCAATGAATCTGAAGGCTATGGTTTTGAATTCCTGTCACTCAAGAGGTATGCCAGGTATAGAGCACGTAGTCAGTAAAGTCTCGTGCTTGGTGGTGGAGTGACATTTTAAAGCACTAACCTGATTGCTGTGATGATTTAATACAGTTTTTCTTTTCTATTAGGTTTTAGCATCTCATTCATTCAATAGGAGTTTAATTTTGTTCAGTTAGATGGGCAAAGCAAGTCTTTCATCTTTTCAAGTAAAAGAGTGAGATATGCTGTTGAGAAAACAAGGCAGCACAGAATGGACAGATTCCTTTGAGTATAATTGGGAAAATTGGCTTGGTGGGCCTTTTTGGGCTGGTTATATCCCTCCTGGGTATCTGCTGGTTAGATTGCGTTTCTGGGGGAAGGAAACCAAATCATAACTGTTTTGAAGCATTTTAAGGACTTACAGTTACTCTGTGTGAAGGTTGTGCTCGGATCTCAATTTGAATTTTTGTTCAGTGAAGCTGACAGTCTCTACTGTCTAATTTTATAAAGGTGCCACCACTGGCTGTCCCTGACATAACCTGGGTTTTTCTAGGGAGGCTGAAATGCAATCTGTCTGGGCTTTCCTTCATTCATAAACATAGCATTGTTGGCTCAGACGACACATTAGGTGGACCTCAATGGCCTGCATGTATTACGTGTATTATCCAGTGAGAGGATCAGTAAACGTGCTTCTTTATTAAACTTCCCGTCCATTCCTTCCCCAGTGGGAAGTGCTTAGTCTGTGCTTAGGAACAAGAGCTCTTCCCCACAGTCATGGAAAACTCTTGTCTTCCTTCCTTTTTCTGTCTTTTCTTTTTTCTTCCTTTCTCTATTCCTTTACTTTTTCTGTTTGAGGATAAGAGAGTATAGACAGTTACTTAGATTTTAAGCAAACATTAATGATAAGTATCCAGATTACTCATCTAATTATTGAAACGTTTATTTTTAAGTCTGCTCCCAAACAAACAATTTATGTCAAGAACAAACCCAGATGATGTTGATGACGGATTCTTTGCAAGATCATTCATTGTTGTTTGTTGGGATTTGTGATTTATGTTTTTATAATATGATATGAGGTAGTTTGGGGGAATACTTGCTTTCACTGTTAGCTCTTAATAGGTTTGTTCTGCTGGGTCCAATTAATCTCAAAGCACTTAACTTGTTGCAGTAGATTGTTGTCATATGCCGATGTAAAAATTGAAACCAGACACTTGTGGCTCTTTGTTAATGCACCTGGGTTACCGTGGTTGCCGGTGCAGGTCTTCCTTCCCAAGGGCACCCTGTTCCATGGACTCTAGCTGGCAAGGTGGACCTGGGAAGGATCTCAGAGACTAACTTGTGCAGTTTCCTTTCGAAGAGAGGAACTTGGGATCTAAAGAGGTCAAGCAAATTGTTTAACACGAGTTCTTAGTTTTTTTGGTTGAATGAACCCCTTTGGCCATCTGGTGAAGCTGATGGACCCCTGTCTCAGAGTAATGTGTTTAAGAGCGTTCAGTCTAATATGAAGGCTTGAGAATAAAACCAGTGGTATTGAAGTACAGCTGTCAAGATATTTTTCAAAATTTGTGATACTGTAATGTATGTGCTTCTTTATTAATGCATTAAATACCAAGATTTGGTGGCAGGTCTGGTAGCTATCGTACATTTGAATTAGTGATGAGCATATATGATCTTTCAAGATAATCAGCAGTACTGTAGTATGATACGAAAATACTCGTGATTTCAATTGGTGGCAATATCACAAGTACTAGTGTAGCTGCGGTTTATTGCCTACGGCCATAATTGAAGTAAATGCTAAGTGTCAGAAAATAGGCATGTAATTTTTTTTTTTTTTTTACCTTTTCAAGTCCATGGATCCTGTGATTTTGAACACAGATTAAGAATTCTTGGCTGAAGATCACACAGTTAATTAGTTAAAGGAATAAGATAAGCAACAGCAGTAACACATTGATCATCTCTTTATGAGATACCGTGGTAGATGATACGCAACTGTAATGAATTGAAGTCTTTGCCTTAATGGGTTCATGTTCTAATAATATGGAAGCCAAGAATAAAAGGAATAAAAGGACTAGAGAATTAATGTTTATTAAGGATTTACCTTGTGGCAGACACTGTTCTGAATCCTTTATTTCATTATGTTCCAGGTACCCTGAGGGTCTCGGAGACACTTTAAGGAGGGGGGGGTGGGTCTATGAGATCAAAACTTTTTTGGCAGTAATATTAAGATATTATTGGCCTGCTTTCCTGCTGATCTCTCATGAGGATACAGTACAGTCTCCCAAAGGCTGCGTGAAGTGTGGTATCCCAGCAGATTGAATGCTGAAGCAGATGGGAGAATCCAACTGGCTTTTGCAAAGCTAGACATTAAAGTGATTTACAAATATGCAAAGCAATGCCACTCCTCTAAATGTTTTTATTTGGAAAAGTAGTTTTATTCATAAACAATATGCATTTTTGCTAACACATACTGGGTTTATTGTGGTTTTTTATGTTAATTAAATAGTTCTAAAAATATCTCTGTTTGAATTTCTACTATGGTAAATAGGGGTAGACATAACCCACATAAACAAAATCTCTTTGGGGTTCTCAATTAAGAGTGTAAAGGGGTTCTGAGACCAAAAGGTTTTAAGGCTGCTGCTTTACATGTCATTTCATTAAATCACTGAGATAATGCTGTAATTCTCACATACTGTCCCCTTTTCCAGGTAGGAAAACTGAGGCTCATTGATGATACATTTTTCATCCACGGCCATATCATCTCCCTCTTAAGCCAAAACCTGACTGTATGTGTTTCCCGAACTTCAGGTGTTCACCCATCACTTG